GGGGGGGGGGGGGGGTTATGCACGTCAATGACGAATACCGGTACGGTGCTTTTTCTTTTTTCCTCTTCCAAAAGTTGGTACGGTTGTGCTTGTCGCATCTACTCATACTTGTATAATAACAACGCCGGTGATATGATAGGTTAGGGAAGGAGCGAAAGGTTGTGAGAGATGGATGAATGATATGAACTGCGGGTTCTTCCTTCCACTAATTTGATTGATGGATAGAGATATAATACAAAGAGGAAACCACAGGTATGACATAACGATATGCACGTAGGGTACCACACAGGCCGGCAAGGCACTATCGGGGAGGAGGAGGCCGTTGCATAGCTGCCTTTCTCAGCCTTTCCCCCATACGGGGTCCGAAGGCGAAAGGGACACGGCGGAGCCATAATGTGTAGAGCAGGATTCCAGAGACGTAGCCCGCTGTTCACCATTAGCATTAGCAGCTGCCCATGAAAAATAGAATGAAGAAACCACACCCAAATGCCCCATATGCGAAATCCCCAGCCCGTAATCCCATACAAACGCGCCGCCGAAATCAAACACTGCGAGCGCGGCCATGAGCGTGCGGATCCTGAAGTCATAAGGAATAAACATGAGGTTCAACTCCATCCCCGGACAAACGATGGCGGCGATGGTCCCCAACGCGACGATGCCCCCACTGCTGCCCAGATTCGTGCTAAGGGCATCCTTGAGTCTCCTCTCCAAGTGATTTCTCCCGTCCTCATCTATCACCGTCACCGCCGTGGCCGGGAACCGACGGTGGTGGAGCGCTGCGCTGAGATCCTGCCCGGATACTTTGCTCCAGGGATTCAGGAAACGCTCCCAGGCAGTTATCGCCGCGCCGGCCATGGCCGAACTAAGAAGGAAGGCGGCAGCGGTTCGGCGGTCACCGTACATGAACGAGAGGCTAGGTGCGAAGGCTTTGAAGCCCATGTAACAGAAGAAGAAGTGCAACATCCCCCCGTGGTTGAAGGCGTAGGTGATCATCGTGTGCCATGGTTTTGGATCGGCGGATTGCGGGAAGAAGCGGATCGGCGTTAGGGTTGTGTTTGCCCATGTCGCCTGCGAGATGTGCTGTAGTCGGAGGAGGTCCGGGCGGTGGGCTCTGATGTAGGCGTTCAGTTGCTCTTTTGTCAGCGAGGAGGTGGTGGGTATGGAACCGGACTCCAGGTCTCGGGCCGAGATCAGGAATGGTGTGAGAAGGTTGATTTTCGAGAGGATAAACACTGGGAGTGTCAAACTGATGAAGAGCAAAACCACCCGGCGACCTGGCTCAGGCTCGTTCGAGCCCGAGCTTCCGAATTCCGCCTCGTTTCGTCCTCCATTGCCCCCCCCTCCACCACCATGACCAGCGGCAGCCCCATCTACCGATCGCGGTGACACCTCTTCATGACCTTCCCGTGGCATGGAACCCCTCCATGCATCCCCGGGATGGATTTTTGGAGAGCGTGGGCGAGCAAACATCCATTGCGAGGTCGCTATTCGCCGAACGCCCAATCCCGAAGGTGGTAGTGGTAGCACTAATAACGATGATGATGATGATGGCGATGATGATGATAGGGGAGGTTTGCAAATTGTGCTCCTAGCCCCCGCCACTGCCGTCCTCCGCAGGAACAGCAATGTGCGGGGTTTGTGTAATGATAAGAACATCTGTTGAGGTTTGGTGTGATGCCGCAATGGAGCAGGTTGAGGCCAGGGAATCAAACCAAGCACCTGGTCATAGCGTTCCCTCCCCCTATTTCTTTTTTTTTTTTTTTAGCCCCTCTCCCTTTTAGTTCCCCATAGTTAGATGATCGGTGCAACAAAGCCGCTTAACTTATTGCCGCACACATAAGCACAGGGGGACGCACAGTAAGTGGCGTCTTGGCGTACCATGGTAGGCATAACCTAACCCTTCCCTTCCGTTCCGTTCCCCCCACCTTCCTTCAACCCCCTTCATCACCGGTCGCCGCCGCCGTGGCCGACGCCGCACCACCCACACAATATTATCATAATTTACTTCTACAAGTGACAATCATCAACACAGCACACCGAAAAGCACCCATCACACCCATCATCGTCCACAAACAGTAAAAATTGACGAGTATTAAAAAAAAAAACACCCACCTGCCTAATCAATATACTCGTATATATTTCCCATTTTTCCATCACCTCCCCTCTCGACTGAACCTTTTTCCTTCTTTCATTCTTTCATTCCCACACAACTCAGGGAGGTGCTGTATCATGCGCAGGATGCGGTATACCAGAGTACGATGGATAGATGAAATATCGTGGATGGATGGATGGATGGATGGATGAATAGATATGACACATGATAAGTCGACTCCCGACAATTTGGATCCCGGCTTGGGGGGATGTTCTATCTATACCCTATCTATCTATCTATGATATCTGTCTGTCATGCTCGAGCACAATACGGGGGAGGGGAGGGGGGGGTGGGCATATACAGTAATCTTTTACAAGGGAGGGGGTTGTTGTTGATATATTACAGTTTACCCACATCGCATACCGGTATTAAACAAGATCTTTTATATTCCCACACCCACACACACCCTTGATGACAAAATCCCGATTACGGCACGCTTACCCTTCCTTTCCTTCCGTCACTTTACCACCTATATCATAAGTAACTATAAGACTACACATCTCAAATAATTATTTTTTGTCATACCCGTTCGTACAATGCAGTACTCGTACCGGTACCCATAGTAACCATAGTTCTATCTATCTACCTACACCCGTCGTCGTCGTCGCCAGTACCAAAAAGGGAATCCAGAAAGAAATGAACCCAAACCCATTACTTACATACATACATACATAACCATGCGAAAAACGAAACCAGAACCGAAAGGGGAAAAAAAAAGACACCCACCAGGAACCCACCGAGAAAGGAAAGAAAAGAAAAGAAAGGAAAGGAAAGGAAAGGAAAAGAAAGGAAAGAGTTCAAAGCAAAGTGGAAGAATCAAGGGGGTGGAGGTGACTTCTCTCTTTTTTTTTTTAATAACTGGCAACCCGCACACCCCCCCCCCTTCCTCAAACTCAGCCCACTCCCAACCATTAGAATCCACCTACCGGTAAACAGATAAATTAAATGAAGAGAAACGCCCCATAATACCTTCCGTATCTTTTCCCAAGACAGGAGAAAGAAAGAAAGAAAAAAACCCCCAAACAAAAGAAAACCGCATCCCCCATACTGTATTTTAAACTTGTAGAAATTTTGTTGGTATTAGGGGTAAGAAAGTCCCTAGAAATAAAAAAGCAAATGCAGAAATACACAAGCACCCGAAAGAAAGCTTAAAGTCCCCAGCAATCAAGAAAAAGGAAAAATGGTATGATAAAAGGACACAAATACTAATAGAATTTCCCCAGCCTTGCTCTGCGATCCTGTCCTATCCTAATCCTATATCCTATCCCACCCATGGAAACCAAATGACACTACAATACTCCGGAAAAAAAGGAGAAGGAAAAAAAAAAATTAGGAAAAAAAAAAGAAAAGAATCCCAAATCCAACCGGTGACTCCATTTGTCCAACCTGAGCGGGTATGTGTTTTTGTTTTTTTGTTTTTGTGGTTTCTGTTCGGGGAATTTTTCTTCTCCCTCTCCTTCCCTCGTTCTCTTCATTCATATCCCCTTTCCCCCATCGTACGGTGCTGCATCTACCTCCCCTCACCTCTCACCAATCAGCCAGCCAACCGACCCCCCCCCCCAGTTCGAGCTTTTTTTTTTTTTTTGCAATCTTTCAGCGTTTGGTATTTCCTTCAAGAAAAATTCCCAGTCCTTCGCCGCATCCAAAACACCCAGAGAAATCTCTTACAAACAAAAGACAGGAAAAAGGGAAAAAAAGGAAATAGGAATAAAAATATAATGAAAAAAGGAAACCCTAATGCTGTTCTACCCATTTTCTCTCTTTGCCCTGCCCTGTCGGCTTTTACCTGTCATCATTAATCGTTACACGCGTTTCCTGTTATACCACCTTGGTGCCTAGTGCACCAGGTGGAGGGCGTGAACGTCATCAATGCCTGGCTCCAGAAAGACGCAGAAAAATGTACTAGGAACAAAATAGTAGAGGAAAGTGAAGAAAAGAGAAGAAATAAAGAAAAATCCAAAAGGAGAAAATGAAACAAGAGCCAAATAAAAATAAAAGTGAAAGGATATCCCCGCTTCCCCAATATCCGTAAGATCAAGAAATGCCTGCTATAAATCCCAAGGTGATGTTACATACCACAAAAGAAAGAAGAGAAAGGGAAACGAAAATCCCCACAATCAAAGCTCACGCAGATGCCGGAAAAGCATATGAATGAAGAAAAAAGGCGATTAGTTTAAAAATTACAGGAGCTTAGCTGTCGTATGCAATAACTTGAGCTGCGATCCATCTTGCACGTGGCCAACGATGGAATCCTAATCTTTTATTTTTATTTTCCTCACTTCCTTCAGAGGGCCGAGAGATCCGGGTAGTAACCGCGTGAGGTTTCTGCTGGTTCAAATCGCCCGCATTTCGGATAAAGGCTCGTGTGGTTGAACCTCTGCTCCCTCCCAACCGAGGCGCCGCCCCCCAGCCAGTTTGCACTGTACTCTTCCTTCACTGTCTTTCTCAAAGAATCATTACTTGAAATGCTCGCGGGAATGTAAGAGGATACGTCAGAATCAAACTGTTGACAGTTTGTTTCCAAAGGATGTTCACTCTTTCGATCATTACTATACGAGTGAGTTTCGTAATTGTTCTCAAGATTCTGTGGAGGCGGTTGGGTGGTGGACTCATAGATGGTTGAGGGGAAATATTGATATCCGACAAAATTAGAATTAAGTTGTGAGGCCGTCTCTGCATCTAGGATTGGGTCAATGGGAGGCTCTAGGTGTGACGAAGAAGATGCGCTAGACACGGAAGGGTTGTGTATGGAAGATGTCGCAGGGGATGAGTGCATGGATGATATGCCGGTGGTATGCAGCTGCAGGCCCGTCATTCCCATAGAGGAACTTGAGCCTCCAAGACCAGACGCGGGTGTTACTCCGTCCGGACTCATAAAACCGGATCCGCCAGAAGTGGGCGAGGGATGGGTACCGTTTCCATTCCCGGAGCCCCCTCCCGCACCAGGACTGGAAGCGCTTGTTCTTCGTTCATCCGCGTAGTGCCCAGGGCTTCTCCCGCGTACCACCATGGGGGCTGAAATCCTGTACGCAATCTTGACCCAACCTCCATCGGAACCCTGCGGATTTGAAGGGTGTCCAGAAACGCTAGCCGCCGAGGAAGACGGGCTACCGACATCGGCAAAAAGCTCGACAATTAAATGGTAATACTGTTGGGCGGCCCGTCGCTTACCGTTATTGGCTGTTGCCGACTTAAATTGGATCCTGTCGAAAACGGCAATGTGTTGCTGTTGCTGAGTCTGTTGAGGGAAGCTGTACTCGCGGTCTAAAGATCCCGCCTGGGGCGAGTGTACCTGTTGCTGAAGCACAGGACTCGAACTCGAGGCGGCAAACGCCATCCCCCCGGTCGGTTGGGGGCTAAGCTTTATCCTGTTTGGCTTGTGCTGCGGCCCCTTGTCTCGTTTGGGAGTGTGCTGGACAAGATCAACAACCTTTCCACCCGGTGCGTCAACCACTGCGGAGATACACATGGCGAAAGCGAGAACGTGTTCCGTCGGTCCCCCCGCGGTCCTCCTCAGATACAGTGGCAGCGAATAAGTGGTGGGTTGTAGGCTATAGGAGCAAATCACTGAAAAGTAATTGCGTCGGTAGCATGTCCAATCCCGCTCAGACAAGAAGAAACCCTTGTCCACACGAGCGTGAATCTCTGGCCGGACGAGGTGCCCATCAGCTGAAGTAAGTGAATGAATGAGTTGAGTCTCCCCTAGGGGAGGGCCGGCAGAGTTGACGCCTAGACCATTGGAAGTAGGGTCATGTTGCCCTGGTAATGGCGAGGCGAGGTTGCTACCAGCGGTAGGGGAAACAGTGATCGTAGGAGAGTCCAGAGCACGGCTAGCTGGTGTCAGTGGAGAATGAGGTGATGGCAAAGATTCTGACTGAGGTCCCCGAGAAGGAAGATGATGTGAAAGATGGGGCGTGGATGTAGCATAGTTTGCTCTCGCGGACGAACCAAGTGAGGGTGAGACAGACTTTGTGCTGCCCGAGGAGGAGCGGTGGTGCGGACCCATACCAGAAGTAGGACTATGTCTACAGGAGAGTGGTGTAAGTAACCTTGCTTCCTCTTCTTCTACTTATCCTCCAAAGGCAACGGGGGAGTGGACAGGGAGGAATTGCACAATCACATACATTGAAGGGATTCTTGGTCGTGGTTCAGAACTCATGGAGTAAGATGGAAAGGTGGTAGACGAGGCACTCGTGGGATAGGAGGTGGGCTGGAAGACGCTTGTGAATGGCGAGTAGGCGATTGAAGAAGCAGCCGATGTGGGACTGGAAGATTCGTAACCAGAACTGCTGGTAGCTGAGTATCTACGAGAAGAGGATCGTCGTTAGTTCCGGGGAGGAAATAAACATGACGGAGGAGGGACAGAAAGTCGCGTGATGGAGAAACCAACAGGACTCGATACCGCGAAAAGCGACGACGGCATCAAGGAGTGGGAGGGAGGATAAAAAGTATGGTTGTGGGTAGGTTGGATAAGGTTGATAGGTGGATTGTGGCAGATGGGCAAGGTATGGAGGTGGAATAATGGACAGGGAAGCAGCGAAATGGAGAGCACACACCGTGGATCCTGCAGTGCGGGCAGAGATGCACCAAACCGACTATTACTGGCAGCGGGAATGGGAAGCGACTGAATCGACGAGTGTGAGATAGGATGATGTTCTCGTTGCACGGCCGAGCTCGAAGTGTCGAGAGGTTCGGGTTTGGGTGACATTTGAACGGGACCAAATCCTGTGCAGCACACAAGGAAAGAGAAGATCGCTGTTAGCCAGACTGCTAGCCGAAATAATATGCAGCACGCAGACACACCGCCAACCCCACACACCCAGTAAGAGTAGCGGGAGCAGGATGGATCAAAAACAGAAGTAAAGAGAATCCAACAATGGGCAAAAACACCAAATAGGAGAGAGATGTATGATAAATGAAATAATGTGAAATAATAGAAAAAATGAGATCAAAAAGTTTTCCGGAGAAGAAAAAAAAAAGAAAACGCCCAAGAATGCCCAAGATATGTATCTCTTTTTTTTCTTCCCCCTTCTCCCACTCTACTTCTTCGTCTTCTTCGAATGGCTGTGCAGTTGGGTTGTGGTTGCAGTTGCAGATATTTTGCGTTGGGTGTGTAAACCGGCGCAGCGCAGTGCAGCACAGACAGACAGATAAAGCAGGAAGGGGAGAGGGCGACAGGAGAAAGAGGGAAAAGAGTGAATAGGAAGGCACAAATGGGTAAAAAAATAAAAATAAAATAGTGGTGAGCGAGTGAATGGGTGAGTTGAGTGACAAAAAGTGGAATACGGTACGGTACAGATAGGATACAGTACAGATCTCGGACTCGAACTCGACTCAACTGGGTGAAGCGGAATTACTTCTGCCCCACCACCATACACGTGCAGTTCTCGCTAGGCATCACTCTTTCCGCGCTGCCTGCATCGGAGATAGCGGGGGGAGGACACAGGAAGGCAGGCAGCCAGAGGAAAAAAGCACCTAATTGAAGGGTGCAATACCGGCTGCCCGTATGGTCCCAGCCCAGCTGTGTTCGAGTCGCAGCTGCCGGAGAACAATGGTGGAAGAAAATGAAGGGATGAAGGGTGTCAAGGAACGGTAAGGAATGAGTAAAACAAAAAAGATGAAAAACTGCGGGCGGGAGAAGCCAGTCAATGGAAGGTGAGAGGGAGTGTGTGAGCTGCTTATGCTTATGCTTCTGCAGGCCCCGATGCCTCCCCCCATTCCGCTGCTGATGTGCTGCCAAAAAGGAACAAGGAAATCGAACTCCAAAGAAATCGAACTCCAAAGAAATAGCGGGAACAAATGGAATAAAAATAAAATAATAAAAATAAAATAATGATAATGATAATGATAATGATAATAATCGTAAATGGAAATAATAAACTCGGAAAAATGAAAAGGAATCCTGTCACGGAGGGGAATAATACTCACTGCTGCTCATCTGCGATACAGTTCCAGCGCCTGGGCGCGATGACCACAAGACAGCCAGTGGAAAGGATTAAATAGGTTTAGGGAGGGAGGGGCGAGGGTTGGCCAAGTGCGTCTATTCTGTCCCTAAAGTCGAGTTTTCTTCTATCGTAAACCTTTCCAGTTCGTCTTTCCTTTTTTTTCTCTGTTTTCTTTCTTTCTCCCTTTCTGTTTCCCTCACGAGCTGGGGGGGGGAAGGGCAAAAAAATTAATAACTTTGGGTTGGGTTGGGCTGCCTGGCTGGGCTGCTTGATGCGTTTCGTGCGTTGCTGCGTTGCGTGCGTGCGTGCGTCCGTCTCGTCTCGCTCGCTGTTCCAAGTGCGCGGAACCCTGGAAGAAAGCCCGTAAACCGTGAGTTAGTCGAGAATCCTTTCCTCCTTCACCAAAGATCGCTCGTCTCGTTCGCCCAAGAAACCCCAAAAAACCTCAAAAGAAAAAAACTTATCAATCCCCACACACACCACCACCACCACCACCACCACTCAAAACCCAACTCGCATGCAACCCATTCCCCCGCTACTATTCCAACCCACATAAACTGATACCCCATCGCCCCCCCGCTATCCTTCAGAGCTGCTAACCATCTAACCACTATCCAATACCTAAACCCACTACTAAACCATCGCAGCCAACCGGATGAAAGGACATCATGCTAAACAATCCCCTAATGGGTAGTGGGCAAGTGTATCGGAGTGAAATAGACAGGGTAGAAAAAACAAAATAAAAATTCAAAAACAGACAGGAGGCAACGGCCGCTAGACCAGGTCGGGATCCGATCGACGAGATGAGGAAGAGCACACTGTACTTACAGCAAATAAAAATAAAAATAAAAATAAAAAATCTTTGGGCAAAAAAAATTCTTCCGATTCCCCCCACAAATACGAGTACGATACGGTACTGGAGAGATTCGAAGAAGGCCTTCGTTGCGAAGTTATCGATTGCGCAGTAGTTGAAGCAGGTGCGAGCCACTGGATTCCGAAGAGTGTGTAGAAGCGGAAAGAAAAGAAAAAAATGGTTAGCAGAAGGATAAAAAAATAAAAATAAAAGAGATATGTGAGCAAGTAAATAGTTGTAGCTCTTTTGGATTGACGCTGCTGCTTGCTGTGGAGCGAACAAGGCCTTCCAAGTGGTGGGGGTGGGCGAGGTATTTTAGGGCGGGTCGGGGTTCGGTATATGTCGGCCTACTTGAGTATCTGGGAGAGCGATCTGGGTCCAAGTCGACAGAAAACAAATGTTTCGCGCCCTAACACGAAGGGTCCCCAACGCGTCTTCTCGCAAAGGGGAGAGAGAAAAAAAAAAAAGAGAGAGGGGAAAAAAGTTGAGGGGCGAGTTAGATTAAAACAAAGAATAAAAAATGTGGTGCGTCCCGATTATTATGCACGTTTGTCCGTTGGGAAACAGGAAGACAGGAATCAAAGGTTATGATCTCCAGAGAGTCCTCTTGAGCTTTGAAAAGCCAATAAGAGTATTAGATAAAAAAGGTAAGTAGGTAGGAGGCCCAGCAAACTACCAAAGCGAAACGACAGGGACGGTTCTTTGGTTGGCCCTGTTGAGGGAAATTGAGTAGCGGGAAGAGCGGGCTGATCGTTCTTACTCAAATAATTATTGCTTTTTGTGACCCTTTTCTCCTCCTGCTCTGCCTCTGTCTCTTTCTCTCCGCCTCTCTGCCGGTTGTTTGGGTGGACGGTAAGTGATCGAGTGAGTGAATGAGTGACGCCTGGTGAGCTGAACGGTAGCTGTGGGTTAAGCAGTGAGGGAATGGGTGCTGTAATGTAGCTGAGCCAGAGACTAATACCGTATCCCAAAGCCCGGGAAATGATGTCGTGATATATAAAATCTTCAACAATTAACCGTTCAAGCCAGCGCGGGATAACGAACGTGCCGCAGAAAGATCGTGGCAGCGACGAAGCTTTTTTTTTTTTTTTGAAGCCTTTTAAGACACTTGTGGATATGTCCGAGGGGGGTTGAATGGACGAGAATGGCGTTCGTTCGAAGATCCAGTCGTGACCGATGCGTTAGGGAAGGAGACTTCTAATTTATTGGGCATCGAACTATTCAAAAAGATCCGTAACGACCTCTACACAGTCCGAGCTCACGCTTTCCTCACACCCCCTTCCTTTCCCCATGTTCTCTCGACTCCCTTCCCATCATCCGCTCCCACCACCACTCTGCACTGTGCTTGTTCACTCTCCCCCCTCCTAAACCCCCCTCCTTGCCCCTAGTCGACTCAGACTACCTAACCTTTGTGCTTACTATCCTCTGCCATTTTCTTGCTATGAGACTACCTCTCCATCGGATTCATCTTGCTCCAAATCTGCCTTCCTGCATGCCCTGCGCCTTCCTAGCCCACCACCTTTCATTTCCCTACCCATTTGGGACGGGGACTGCAAGTCAGTGCGCTTAGGGTTTGGAGAGCGGATGGGGGATAGAGGGAGATGGGGGGGAGGAATAGAGGGGGGGAAGAGAGATTGGAGCCGGGGTCCCGCTTGATGTTCCTGCGTTTTCTATGCGATGAGAGGGGCGGAACAGAAGGTCAGAGAACCAGCATACAAGTCTCCCTTTCGTCAAGCTGAGGTGCTAGGCAAAAAATAGCGTCAAGATCCCCGTAGAGCTATCGGGAGTTATAAAAAGAACAAGGTTGGGAGCTAGCGCGAATAGGGATTGGGGTGAATGTGGAGGAGGGAGTAAGAGGAGTGAGGGGGTGGGTGAAGGGCGAAAAAAACGAGGAAACGAAAAAAAGGAGAGGAGAGGGATGTGATGCAAGTAGCGCAGGAAAGAAGGAAATCCCTGCGGCAGATTGATACGAGCCTGTTCCTCCATCCCTCCCCTCCCATCATCATCCTTCTCCTCTTTTTTTTTTTTACATTTGAATATCCTCCAAAATTGCCGTTTTTCTACTTTAGGCCATTTCGCAACACCTCTCTTCTTTCACTTGGAAGACATTACAAGGGTGAGCGAGAATGTAGCCAATCAACTCGTTCCCAAGGAAATCATCCCTGCAAAGAATCCTTCTCTTGGATTTCGCCCCCTCTTGGGCCCCTGTCGATTCCCTGGGCTCTGTATGGTCAGAAAAGGAGAGGCTGCAGGGTGGAATTCGGTGTTGCCGAATCCCCAGACGAGGTGGAGGGGGAGTTGATCCAGAGAGAGCGCCAGAAGGGTGAAGCCCGCCTCTCCGGTGTATCATATGCCAGTTATGGGTAACCTGCAGCAAAAGGGATGTCTGCAGGTTAACGATATTTATCCGCGGCTTGGCTCCCTGCCTTCCGTCTTTTCTGGGACCTGGGTGTCGATGATTAATCTGTATTCCGATCCCAATTTGGTGTCTATGAAAGCGCGAAAAAGCAGCGAGAGAGGCTGGCAGTACTCATTGCCCAGGAGGGGGCATGAGGAGAATGCGGCAGGCAATTATCGCATCTACTATCTAAGGTATCTACCTAGTTTTAGGGGGTGGTGGATGAGGAAAAGGAATGATGAAGGGGCCTCGGGAAGGGCTGTCGAGAAACAAGTGATAAATCAAGACAAGGCAAAGACAAGATAAAAAGCGGTTTGCTTGGATTAGTTATTATTATCACCACTGCGGGGCCATTACGAAACCGCACCACATGTTTTATAACAGCGGGTGGAGAGACAGAGTAACAGGTATCGTAAGAACATGTCGCCCCAAAGTTCAGACGATTTTCTCTATCTCTCTCACCCACGCACTTCTCCCTTGTCTTGGATATTGCTTGTACCCATCTACTTGTA